AGAATGCATATTTTGGGATTCAGGTTGGAAATCAGGAGTATTTCAGAGCAAGTGTTTGGTGGCAGAGGATGGTTTGCTGTGCACACACCTGGCCAGAGAGAGGCCACTTTGCAGGAGACATGTTCCCCTCCATAGCAGCTGATTGCAGAGAACCACTTGGCTGATTGCATTAAGATCATACACTGGGCAGGGCAGCCCTGAAGCAGCCTCTTTCCTCCACTGGACTATTTTGCCACATCTGATGAGCATGACTTCATCTGCTTGCATTGCCCAAGGGCCTTGTTGTGTGCTTTCAAAATTTATATACATGTGACTGAACTAACGCATATGGACCTCAGTGTCTGTGTGTACAGGGGTACATGCGCCTGTGTATACTTATTTTGTGTATTGATAAGACTCGCTGTTGGTGAATATTTTGTTTTCCTCTGAGCTTGGACATCTGGTTGCCCCGATGACTGTATGCTTGAATCTGCCAGCAACTGAACCCTCCTTGAGACACATTTGGTTGCTCACCCTGGTACGCCCTCTTCCAGATCCTGACCATTGGTCATTGCAAATTTCCGTAGCAGGAGTTTTTCTTGTTGTGGAGAGAACCTCTCCTCTCTCTGGGGCTCAGCACCCAAGGTCAGGTTCAGAGATGAAAGAATGAAAGCTGGAGGGAAGATCTGACTGATATCATTGATAATTGTTCCTTCCTCTTTTGTAGGACTGTTAGCCTGATTTATTTGGAATTTGTGCACTTTTTTTCATAACTGATCTCTCTGGCTACATACCATGGAGAGGGGGGAGAATATAATAATTAAAGTTATTAGCATAGAAAATTGTTGCCTATTTGGAGTTTCCAGGTATGAAGGGTCAGCATAATAAGAACCTAACATGATTTCATTTATTAAAAGCAACTAATGGGGTGAAATAAAATAATGTTTTCAGTATAAGGAATGTTACATTACGAACAGAAATGCTCTCTTTTATTGCGTCTCTTTGTCTATTATTTATTTATTTTCCTTAAGGAAAGGTCACTTAAAAATTCTTGGAACTTTCGTCTATCTCGTGTTGCCAAAGCTAAGAGCACAAAACAAGGCTTTTGTTGAGACACAGGTGCTAATTCATGAGCACATGTCTATGGGAGTGAAACGTGAGCTCCCCAAGAAAGGGAACTGAAAATGAAGGCAGATGCCCGTGAGTAACCCCTTCGTCTCAGAAGCATAAGGTCATGCAAAGCCCCACGTTATCCACCAGACCTTGCCCCTCTCTATGATTATTAAATGAGAACCAAAATAGCAGAGGAACCAAATATCCCTTCTGTACCATCATGGCCATCAGGCCCAGTGATCTTGTCTTCCTTGGTGTGTCTTTGGTTTTCTTTCAGTGCTGGAGAAGACAAAATTAAATATGGAATTAGTTCTACCTTGGCAAGATTTGGGAAGATTTAGAATTTAGGAACTGGGCAGTTCCTTAAGGAAACATAGCCTTTGGGAGAGCTGTCCAGATCCATCTGTCTATTCAGATAATCTGGGAGTGTCTGCTGGGTCTCTGCCTCCCTGCCCCTCAGCCTTTGGAATTTGCACCCGTTTGGTGCATTTGGAGATGCCTCTCATTGGTGCAGGGGCATAAGAACAAGGACTAGATGCTATCCTTTCAGTTCCTGGAAGTTGAGATCTTGAGAATGAAAACCAAACTCCTTGGGTTGTCCCTATTTGGTATAAGGCTGACAGAAGAGCCACTTCTCCCTGGAAGGCCTAGAAGTCAGAGGGGAACCTTGTGATACAAAAAGTTGGGGTGGGGAGTATATGAATCTGGGGGGTCCAGGGCCCATGCTGATGATTCCAGGCAGATTAATATTTATCGGAGAATGGTACCTACAGACACATCCTCTGAGGGTTGGCTATTGAAAAGCCATGCCATGGTCCCTCAAACAATGACAGTCCCTTAGCCCGTAGGCCTAAGCACAGAGAAACAACTTATCTGAGGTCAGAGGAAGTGTAGGGATGAGAGAGGAAACAAAGCCAACTGACAGTTAAGAAGTTGTTCACTCCACGAGGCCATGGGAGCACTTCTCCATGCAGTATGGATAAATCCTCTCCCATGAGTTTTCTAATAACTCACATTTTATAGGAAATTGTTAGGTTAACCGAAAATTAGAATTGTTTCTCAGCCTGTCCCTCACGTTGCCCCCTGGTTGATATGGGGGGACTCTGGACATATACCGGGTAAGGAGGGTGTGCCTCCACCCCCAGGCATGTCTGAGACCCACTTGGTCAGAGAAGTCTCTTTCACCACTGCCCACGCCAATAGGACAGAACTCAGCTCATGACCACAGCATTCCCTGGGAACAAGCAGATAGCATTTCTTCACCGAAGAGAAGAAGAGGGTAGGGAGCAAAGTCAAGTTTTATTATTAAACAACTTTAATCCAAATGCTGATTATTATTTGCAGTGTCTGAAGGCACAAAATATACCTAAAATGTATGGAATAGTCTAAACAGAGTTATAAATCCAAAGAGCAAAGCATGAAAAAAAGATACATTCTGAGCTGACACAGAAATCTGAGTTGGGATTTTTTTTTTTTGAGAACTTACTTGAATATCAATCATTTCCCCTCATGCCAAGGGTAGGAAATTTAAAAAATAACATAAACATGGTGAAGAATAAATAACACCATGAAGTGTTAAGGGTCTTTTTTTTTCAATAAGCAGGATGCCTTTTCCTCAAAGGTATACTCTCTCTCTCTCTCTCTCTCTCTCTCTCTCTCTCACACACACACACACACACACACACACACACACACATGCACGCACCCACACCCACCCACCCACCCACACACACACACCTGCCATCTCTCTCCTCTCCCTTACACCCACTCTAAGCAAAGCTGTCCAAGAAGACATCCATGGTGTACCCCAGAAGACAGATCATCTCAGGAAAAAACAGACTTGGGAGTGAGATAAGGCAGTGAGACCAGAATTTGATTAAAAAAATAGATATATATGAAAAACTGACCATCCAGGGCAGGGCCCCCCAAAGTGCTGATGGAAAGAAAATGAAGCCTGCTCTTCCTCAGGGTAACTGTCGCCCACCTAGGCTTCACTATGCGCATGCACCCAGCTCCTGATTCTCCACGCTCTGATTGGAGAAATGTCAATGGATTGCCTGGGTAGCGCTAACATCAGGCCATTCTCAGCATCCAGAGATAAATAACATAATTATAAACACTCTCCTCTCCAGGGTGCTTTTAGCTGACTATGTGATGCAGCCGTTCCTTTCTGCTCAATCATGTCAGTCAGGACTTCAGGAAAGAAATCAATCCGGGGCTAGTTATCACCCTCATAAATACACCTCTGGAGCAACTCTACAAGGCTATAGGAGATGCAGTCAATAGTCTTTGTATTGTTCCATGACCACAGATGGGCTCTCAGCTCCCTGATGACTGCCCAGCCAGGGATGGGGAGGGGAGCCCAGCCCTCTTGGTGCCCAATGTGGGCTGTGTGCACCATCCTGGCAGGTTAGGAGAGCAGAATCACCTTTGTCGTCAGCTCAGATTACTCAAACTGCTCTGCTCCTACTGGTTCTTTGTCTGGTTCTAAGGTTTAATTGTCCCAAGAAAGACAAGGGAGGGAGGCGTGGCTATCTAGCTGTCTTAGCCTTAAGGAACAGAGCTACCAGTAGGTTCCTTAGCTTGGGGATAATCCTGGGAATCTCAGTGAGAGGGGCCCCTGCCTATTGGCTGGATCACCGCTTGAAGGCTTCTTGTCTGGAGAAGGGGGCAAAGCAGGGAGTAAGGCCTCACACTGTGTTCTGGCCCCATTTGGCAGACTGCCTGCAGGGTTTCAGACCTGGAGACATCCTTTTAATTTTGGAGTTACTTCCCTGGGTGATAAAGAGTTACTTGTGTTTACATCACACCAAGTTCTGCTGCTCCTTCTCTAGGAGCCAAGGCTCCTTCCTATCTGAACAAACTATTTCCAGCACTGCCCACCGCCTAGAGTACTGGTCTGCTCACCTAGGGCACCTCCCTCCACTCCTCCACCATAACCCTTTGACCCGAAACCACAGGTCACAAATCCCAGGGGTTATTCTCTCTCTGCCTGGTCTCACCACCTCACCTGGTCCACACACTATAGCTAGCATTTCTCTATCCCCATGGACAAGGACAAGCCCACCACTGCCAAGCCTCCCAAGGCAATGATGGAGCCTACCTGCCTTCTCCCACATTCTGTCACTTGTTGATTCTTCTAATTAGGAAAAGAAAGCAAAAAAACACAAGGCCAATAGTATGACCCTAGAGCATGTCAGCATCAAAGCCCTCAGAGATGGCCTCCTCATGGTGGGTGCTTCTCTTGGGCCCACTGCACACTGCATCATGCAGTGGGTGAACAAGAGGACTCCCCAGGTCCCAGAAGTCTCCTAAGTCCCAGGCTGACAGGAACAGCTGATCACCGTATAGCCCCGTGGCCTGGGGTCAGACCAATGCTGGCTCACTGTTTACCCGAGAGGATTAAAGAGGAACCAAGGGCCAGGAGCAGAGGAACTTGGCAGGAAACCATGGGACATGGCAACAAGCAGCATTTGGGGGCTCCTCTAAAGGGACTGGCTGCTTATCTTCCCCTCTCTCCCGGCAGGAAGGGGCTCCTTATCTGATCACCCCTCCTGCCTTCAGAAAGGCCCAGGAACAGGGGGCTTCTTTGGCACTTCAGAATGATCACAAGTAATTTGCCTTTTTATTCATATAGAACAAAATTTACAAAGTCATTCATACAGTTTTTGTGTTTTTTTTTTTTTTACTGACTTCGAAAATTGGGAATATTCAAAATACACTTTTACCCCACTCCATTCTGTCATTATTTACACATATGTACAAGAAAAATGAAAGAGTCTTTGTGTGTGTGTGTGTGTGTGTGTGTGTGTGTGCACGTGTGTGTGGGTTGTGTTGTTGTTTTCTTGTATTAAAAAGCTCTGCTGGTCGGGTGGGTGGATGGGCGGGCAGGAGGGCAGGCGGCGCGGTCAGATGGAGGTGCCATGGGAGGTGTCCAAGGCCTCTGGAAGGACGCCTCCCGGCACAGGCTGGAAGGACATGGGGATGGGGGTCTTCACCGGGCTCTGGCGGAATAGCCCCCCATTGGGCGACCTGTGTTTGCACTGCATGGAGGGCATGGTGGCCGAGCTGCTGAGGGGCAGCGGCAGATTGCTGCTAGGCCCTGACGAGAGTGTCCGGCTGGGGCCATGGCTGCTTTGCTCTGGCAAAAAAGTGCTGACCGAGAGCTGTGTGTTCTGGTACTCTCGCGTCGGCTCCAAGGCTTGGCTGGGAGCCAGGCCCCCCATCTCCAGGGCCGAAAGCTCAATGGACGCTGGGGAAATCTGCTTGTGAGCAATGTCTTCATCCATTAGACTGTTCATGCGCCGGTGAACCTGCTCCAAATTCACTTCTTTGTCCTGGAGGGAAAGCACAGGAAGGTCAGGCCAAGCCCTCATGTGAGCCAAGGCTGGCTTTCTACAAACTCTGGGAGGCCTGGAGACCCTAGACATGTTAAGCCTGGTGGACACTAGGTGAGCACTGCCCCCCCATTCCTCCCATACCCCCTCACCTACATCTGGGTGAACTTCAGTTATCTGGGAACTGGTGGCCTAGGCCACTGCCCCAAGGTAGCAAAGACCCAGAAAGCAGGCCTTGGCAACATGTACCTTCCCTCCTCACTTGGCCTAGAACCACGGTCACACTCAGAGGCAACCCCTGCGAGAAGATGCCTTGAAGAACTGGCAGAGACAGAAGGAGGAGAAGGGAGTTCCCGTGGGAATAAAAGGAACTGGTCCTTGAGCGCCCAGGGTGTCCTGTGTATTTACCACAGAGTTCATAATGCTCAAAGGGCCTGATGTGATCATCCCCATCAGACACAAAAGGAGGCTTGGGTTCAGGAAGGTCAGTGACCTCCCTGGAATCACCACCCTTGTGAATGGCAGAGGCAGCAAGGGAACGCTGAAGCAGGAAGTGGGGGCCTGGCTCACCCTAAAACCCTTGTTCTCTCCATCTCCAGAGATGCCAGAAAGCAGGCATGTCCTTGTCTCCAAGGCCCATGGGGCTGGTTCCTGGATGAGGAAGATGGTGGAGATGGTAAAGAATGGGTCTTTGCAGGGCTTAGAGGACTTTCCCGGTGTCAAGAATGTAGAGACAGCCAAGAGGGTGACCCTGACACGTGACTCTTTCTCCATAATGTAAATGGTGGCAAGGAAATGGTTTTGTTTATTTGTGAGCTTAAGAAAGAGAATAAAATTCACTTTAAATAACTTGATGTTTTGTCTACAATATCAAAATAAATCAAGGGGGCCAAACTGCTTGAAAGCTCCTAAAAGACAAAGATGAGGTACTCTATTTGCTCAGTTCCCCCCATTGAGGTGGGGCATAAGACCAGGTGTCCACAAAGGAGCCATGCCAGCTCCCCAATGAGGTTCAAAGTTCCACTCCTATTTTTAGGCAGCATGAGTGCCAATGTGACAGGCAAGGTCATGTCTACCACCCATGCTTCCCTGATGTCAAACTCCTAGAGAAATACCATGTCAAAGCTCTGCTCTGAGATAGAACACCACAGGCTGTCTAATGGTGACATCCGTAGAGTAGAGAGAGGAGCCTGACCCAGGCCCATCTTATAGGGCAGTTAGAAATACCACAGATGTAAAGGCTCTCAACGGGCTTTCAAAAGATAAAAGAAGGAACCACACAAATCTAGGGGGAAATTCCAGTGGCTGTTCTGAGCTCCTAGGAGGCTGGTGGGAGAGGATCTTCCCCAGGAAGAGGCCACCCTGAGTAGCTGGTGTGAATGCCCCTCTCCCATGGGTTGCTAACCCCCATGAAGTCTCAACCCAGCCTTCCTCAGGCAAGGAAGTTGCCTCTGCAGTTTACTCCTTGTTCTCAGTGGCCCCTGGTGTGGAGAAGGCAGGGCCACTGCTCTCTCCACACCTCTGCTGAGCTCAAGACTGGTAGTCAGACATTGGCTTCTGCCTTTTCCAGAACCTTTCACAGACAAAGAAAACTGACAACCCCCACAAGAAAATAAGAAACTCATCCCAGGCCAAGAGGAGACCTGAGAATAAGAAAGCCAACTGATTTGAGGATGGAAGGTACTATGGGGCATGGCTCCATATCATAGATGGAACAACATCAGAATTCACTGGCATAGCTCCATGGGCAGAGCCGACATTCCAGGGATCTGAAGCCCCACACAGCTGAGCTCAGCTCACTGATGCCGGGAAACCAGCTCCAAGTTGAGGACACCACTGGGTGGCGAGTGTCCTGGGTAAAATCAGGGAAAGGGGCTGGAGACTACCAGGCCTTGACTTAACCTGACTAAATGTAATGCATGAATGTCTTTCACTGACTCTTTTAAGGCTGTAAAAAACTACAAGACACCGAATTCAAGTTCTCTTAATTACCTTACAACATGCTGACCCAGCTCTGTACAACTTTGCCTTTTTCTTTCTGTTTTATCTGCTTTGTTGTTAGTCTTGCACATGAAACCATTTTAAATAGTTTTTTAAACTGCTATAGTAGTCTCTGGCTGTTTTAAGACCACCAAGCATCAATTATCCCTTCCTAAGACCATGGTCTGTTTGCTTTGAGGGAATTACTTCTCACTGGATAACAGTTTGGAAGGTGCCCTGCCCACCTGTAGCTAAGACGAAGGACCACTATGCAAACAAGGACAATAGGAATGAACTGAATCCTGAACAAAGAGATAAAGAGACAGAAAAGAGTTGACTGTCCATCCAATAATGCAATAGTACTTCAACAAACTTTCTGCTCCATGACTGTCCTCCTAGATCTTGCCCCCCGCCCCCCAGGTTCTCTGGACAAGTCTGACTCCTGCCCACCACCCATCCTGCTTCTCCAGCCTTCTCATGGTTGCTGTGTGCCCCTGATAAACTCTGGGACAGATAAATCTGTCATCTCCACTGGCCAAACTCAGTGCCACAGCTGTGTTGGTAAATATCTGCATCTATAGGCTATTTTCATTTCAAAATATGGGAAGGGCAGAAGACAAGTATCAGAGATCCTGGTAGCTGGATTAGTTGAGAGAGAATTTCAGAAACTTTTAGGGTCTCATAATAGAACCTTCCTTTCTCTTTGCAGACAGCAAAGCTTGGAGAAGGCTTGATAGCCAGCTGTCCCTGCTGGCAAAGTCTTCAGTTTCCACTGAAGAAAAACCGATGACCAATGGACCTGGGATAGTTGGAAGAACGGGTTAGTTGCATGATCTCACCATTTCCTCCTTTAGATTTTCTTTCCAGGGTTCTAATAATCCTTTTGGGGACACAAAGAAGTCACATTTAAAAGTGGACTAATTTGGAGGGGAAGGCAAGTATCTTGGTCCCAGTCCTGTTCACTCTGGCAGTTAAAAGAAAGGGTATGACCCTTTTTCTCAGAAAGTGTTCAGGAGATGCTCCCCATTTTGCAGGGGTCTAGAGATAGAGAAAGGAGAACTTCCTGTCCAAGAAGACCACAGGAAGGCAGAGAGTTGAGAGTGGGGACAAAGTGAAAGGAGCCCTCTCTATCGAATGCCAGGGCCACAAAACAGAAGGAGAGCTTTGGGGGAAGACCAACAACCCAAAATACTCTGAAGAAAAATGTGAACAAAGGAGGTCTCTGAGATGAAATCCTTCACCCAGGAAGTATAAGGCAGAAGAGGTTCAGGGGATGGAATTATAAAAGTGGTTGAGACTAGGCACCAATCTAGCATAATAATCACAGCTGTGAGGACTTGATCTGGTACTACCAAAGCATCTAGAATAAAAATGAGCCCAGAGCATAGGTGTGGCTACAGCCCAATTACCTGAGAATCAGTACTTTTGGAGGAAAGAGCTTGAATATAGTTTCCTAAATCCATATATGTTTCTTCTTGCCTCAAGTTAAGGACAAATGAAGCAGTTCCAAGGACTGTAAAGCTGTGCAGTGAGTGTCAGCTTCCAATTGAGGTTAGTCATTAGCCTATAACCTTTCCACATCAGGACACAGAGAAAACGTCCACACCAACTGAACAGACTTTCCTGGGAGACCTTCCCACCCCAAATGGCAGTGAAGTAATTAATCCTCTCTGCACCAGTGGGACCTCATTCTATTCAAATTCTGTTACTGCTGGTAGCTAGCTCCAACACAAAACAAATCCCAGAAGAACAAGGTGGCATCGTGACCTGCCCATATTTGATTGTTTAACTGGACAGAAAATGAGAAAAACTCATGAGAAATGTCTCCCCACCCCCCAACACAGGTAGTCTGTTTGAGCCTCCAATCTATTTCTAAGCTGCCTGCTTCTTCCGCCGTCTAGAGGTCAGATCTGAAGTGCAGAAAACTGGAGAAAACCACCTTGTACGGTAAAGCCTGGAAGAATCGTCTTGGATCACCTGGGGCCACAGATTTAGCACACACTAAGTCATTTCCAGTAGTCCCCGGCCAAGGAACGAGGAGGCAGAAATAATCCACCTGCTCAAGAAAAGAGGCAGGAGTGATTTGAATAATTATCTATATTTTAGACAAAATGGGACATTCTGTTATGTTATGCAAATTCAAATAATGGGCTTTTTTATGTGAACTACATCAGTTTACATCCTCATTATCTCAAGTTTTTGGTGTTCAACCGTATGGAAACTTGCTGCTGTCTTCATTAATTTACTGTAGGTAACTGACCTAGTCAAACATCCCTGAATATGACACGGACTGCATTTATCCACAAATCTGGCTAAATTCCAGCTCTGTGTTTCTCACCTCATATTAAACATGATGACAGATGCACCAAAAGAGGTTACTGGGGACCCTCTCCCAGGCATTGTCTTGCAGAGAGATAAAGTTCTGTAATTAAGCCGCTGTTCACCAACGTGGAAATAATTCAGTGTACTGGAAAATGGTAATTAACTAAACTATCATCTATGTAACAGCCAGTTACACATGGGACTCGTTAGAACAGGCTTTGTTTGGTGTCCAATGGCTTTTACTTTAAGTTGAGCAGGAACAAAATGGGACAGGGGACTTCACACCTGACTGGGATGGTTGTAGAGGTGTTCTCCCATTACCACTGACACCAACCGGGTTGTAAATGAGACCCAATGGCTGGGGAAAACGCCATCAATACGAACTTCTTAAGTGTTGCTCTAAAGACTTGCCCAGCCCTAAAGGACTGGTCTGGAGGTCTGAAAGTAGTGGCTAGGTAAGAGCAAAGAAATTGAGCAGTTAATGAAGTGGTCTCAAGAGATGATGGACAGTTTTCAGAGCATCATTGGGAAAGACTTCTGATGGATTCTGTCACAGATTCCATAGGGGAGGGCAAAAAGAAGAGAGAGCTGATGGACATCTCCCATCATACGTGGTAGCAGCAGGTGTACATGGGGTGAACTGAGGCTAAGGGTGAAGAGATTCGCTCAAAGTCACACTACTTCATGCTAAGTGGAGC